TTTAGATCAGGGCTCTTTGGAGGCTCGACCATCTGTTGGAGGACTGTTGTTCTTGTCTTCTTGTTGATTATTCTGTGTGGCTCTGAATCTTTGGGTTCGTTGTCATTCTGCATCTTATAATCTCTAAAGTGTGTGTTTGTAAAGATAAAATCTGGCAATGTGATGGTAGCTTCCGTGAAGAAGACATTCAGGGCATGATCCCTTATTTTCAAGTCTATCTGAATTAATAAATGCCTCATAGACATACTGTATGTACAAAATATATATGGTGCATGAATGAATAGGAAAGTACATCCAATATAAGATTAATAAATACTACTACTCAAGTGCTTTTGATGAGACAGTTATCATAGGAAAATCTACACTACACCCAGTTTACATCAGTTTTCAGCCCATTTTTAATCTGATTAGTTTCTCTGGATATAGGCATATAATACTAACATACTAACTAATATTTGCATGAAGTGGTTCATGAAACCAAGACAATACACCTTGCATAAATCTAGCTTAAAATACAATGATGAAGGCCGGCTATTCACATTTCTAGAGGTACTCAAGTGAAAAAGAATGAGTTTTGTTTTGTTGCACATCTATTCCCAGTCCCTGCTGTTCTTCAATCCTCACAACATTGCGATACATTTTAGCCAGTTTAAAAGCGAATAGCCACCAGTCAACAAATACCATTGTTGGATCAATATGATGATTAAGGGTTACACGATGTTTAGTAATGATTATTGTATGTTAGTAAGTTTGGTTCTTCCACAGTTGAGAGAAAAGAGGTGGAAAACTCGGAAACTCCGCCTCAGGATAAATCATCACTTAAATGAAAGATTTAATTGAATCATCTCAATCACAGAGATATGAATAAATCCAGCTCTCTAATTTTAAGAACAGTAATCATGCCAGGGGCAGGATGCTAATCATGTGCATGAACCATGTACAGCACAGAATTTTTGGTTCTAGACAATCAAAAGATTTTATTCACACACATACACCACACCATTTGCAATCTGAATATTAAATTGTCTCTTCTTTCGAACTTGCCATCTTTCTCAGCTGTACGGTGCTCACAGACTGAGCGAGATTTGTGAAAAATGGGTTTTCACTTCACAGATATATAATTTATTAATATGAATGGTGACAGGTGCTGGACTGTGTGGGCAGGTTATCAGCCGTGATACTACCTGAGAATAGTTAGTGCCATCTGAGCTTTGGTTTGTTCTGCTTCCTCCAGTATACTGCACACATGCTAAACACCCTGTGTAGGCAATTGGTTTAAGGGTTACATTGTATTACACTTACAAGCCTTCATTAACAATTTGTCTCAGAGCTGAGGAGCCACTGAACCTCCTGGTGGTGAAATGAGCAAATTACAGTGATTGTAATGCATCAGAGGCAGCCAGTGCCTAAATCAAACATATTTTTCTGCCCATTGTGGACATCCTGCAAGAATTATTTCTGTATCAGTACAATGTCGCCATCTGTTCTTTCATTTAAGCCGTTATACATCTCGGTGCAATAAATGTATTCACATGAGGGTTTAAATATGAGTAAGGATCCAGCAGGTACAGTATAATATAACTCTGATGGTCTAGAGCTGTGAATTATATGAAGCCAATTTCACCTTTTCGTTTCATTTAAAAGCGCACTTGTACACTCCCACTGGTGCTGTATAGTCTTACTGTGGCTTATACAATATCTCGCAGCCTGGTGATGGGGGATTTTATCATAGACGGGCTCTGTGTGCTCACTAACCTACTGAAGACTAAAAGGCTTTTTGTTATTATAGAGCTACTGCTTTGACCCTTTATAAAATAATAATAATTTATCTTGTGATTATTTTTAGAATCCCAGTTTCATAACAATATTGCCGCTGACCAAGCCACTGGTCTCAAAACTGTGGCTTGGTGCACAAACATATGTCAGTCTGGTCTGTCATATGTTAGACATATGTCAGACACGTCTTGGTTGGAAACTTGGCCTAAAGTGAGTTAGATATTTTTGCAAAAACAGACAAAACTACCTCAGGCCATCCCACAATTAAGGGATGTTCATCGACAGTAACAATCAATGACTATAGTGCCACAAAATGTCATGGAGTGAGCAATAATAAGGGAAAGGTTCTGAATTAATTTCATGTCACGTCATACTTCATCTCCACGGCTACAAGTCAGAAGGAAATAATGTACTTTTTACTCCATAAAATATGATGCACTCAAATAATCTCGACTTCAGTCAACTACAACAGTAAAATGCTACTTACACCTGAATGCATCAGCGATAATAATTCAACAGTATAACATTCAAAGCATTAGGTTTTCTGCTCTATGAGTACTTTTACTCTTGATACTTTAAGTATGTACTGTTACAGTAATACATGTTATTATTTAAGTGACATTTTCATTGCAGGGCTTTTACTCGTAATGGAGCGTTTATGTTTTTGCAGTATTGCTACTTTTTGCTTAAGTATCTAAATACTTCTGTCACCACTGAAAATGTCGGTGCCAGGTAATTTCGCTCCACATTTTCTGCTGAAACAGAGGAGTAGTTCATTGGTTTGTCATGAGTTTAGATCAAAAAGAGTCTCAGTTAGATTTGATTATATAGCAAATTAGTCCAACTCAAGATAGTCCAGAATTAGCATTGTGCAACCAATGAACATAGATGTCTATCTAAAGCGTGCTATATTGTTAAATCTTAGATAGATAGGTTTGAGCAACAGGACAGTCGAGAGCATTTGTCGGTATTATCCCATCCCTCTAAAATGCACAGGAACAATGTTTTCCTCAGAGATTAATAAAGTATAATTTGAAACAGGCATAAAGCTAAATTAACAGTGTTAACATTGTTAAGGTAACATGCATGTTACTGTTTGACTCATTCAGAAAACAGCATGAAAGGTCTAAAGAAATATCTTTAAAATGTTCCACACTAAGATAAATGGAAATACAGTATATACCAATATCATTAAATGACAAAATAAAATATTGCCTTATTGGAAATATTGATAAGCATGATATATGTGCCAGAGGAGCAGATGTAAACTGCAGAGGTTGTGGATGATCCAACCATTTGTAAAATATTGCATGTGAGAAAGAGACACTCAAAGTCCTGATTTTACCTTCTGAAGTAAAAAAAAGATCATTCATGAACATTAGTGGAAGAAATGTCGTGCTCTACAATGAATGACAAAACATTTTTTCCCACCAACTTTATTATACAAATTCTTTGTAAGTCCATGTCGTATCCAAGGGGATCAATGCATTAGACAATAACAAAAGGGTTGTTTTGTAATTTACAGGCATGAAAATAAATCCATGAATTTCGTAACTGGACACTGTCCCTGTCCCTTACAATTGACTATTAGTAATGCTTTACATTTCAGGTGGCCATAAACCTTCCTCACTCTAAATGAATTCATAATGGTAAAAACACACACCATATTCATTCATTTCCTTCTGAAAACTAGCCTTTTTAGCTCACTTGCCTGTATATCAGTTCTCAGTTGTGAAAAAGAAATAACTCCTGTAGCTGTGTAGGAAGCTACGACAATAGAAAGACAACAAAATGTTATGAGTTTGGCACTGTACAATTCATTAAATACTAACACATAATTTGTTGAATCCTCAAATTAATGTCGAAGAGATCACTCAAAATATTCTGATTGTACTAGCTATACAAAATACAATACTTGCACAAATTAGATTAACCATTTATAAAATTGTGATAATGAGTTTCGATGGATATGGCTTGTGAGATATTACAGACTTTGCTACAGACCTTTTTGTGGCTCTATTAAAAAAATCTAAAACTACTGTGTGTCATCTGTCCTAATTCCCTGAAAAAGACACTGCACTCAAAAGCATTCAGGTGTCCGTCAGACCGGTCTTTATCCAACCTGTATAATAAACATTCATCCGAACACACATACATTATGGCGTCATGGGCTTTGTGTGTACAACCCATTATAAGTTATTGGGTCAGGCAGCTGCAGTGGCGACATCAGACTGTCTCTAGTCTGGTGGCGTTCCCAATTCCTGGCCCGTCCCAAACTCATCTATCCCTCACTGGCTGTTAAAACACCATCATCTACACATACACGTTTAGAAGGCTGCAGATTTTTTCAATAGATGTTTTTGTACCAGAGTGGAAACCTAAGTAATCACTTGAGATCAAGAAGTCATAAGGCCGATGTCTAGGCACAGTACATACAGCTGGAAAACTGGCCATATAAGCATTGATGACCTTAAAATCCAGGCATACTGTAAATGCCTCTCAATGAAATGGAGCTGGCATGCATCAAGATTTGGAATGTTTTTAAAAACTTGAATTTATGACCAGATGTATGAAAAACCAACTAGTCATGAGAATGCTAGTTATCTAAAAACAATAAACACTTAAATCCCACCAAGTAAAAGAACATCACATCATAAGATAATTGTTAATAATAACCATAACAGTTATAATAATTATTAATAATAACACTCCATCATATTCATAACAACTACATTTAGCACTGTGTATAGGAAGATTGTCCAAATGAAATCTGTGTTTCTGTTTGTCAGCATTTCGTCTCTGTATCCTTTCACATGACTGAACAAAAACCGAGCAGTAACACGTTCCTTCTTTGATCTGCGTAATTACCTCCGATTTCTGTTGATTAAAAAAAATCCTCTCTCAATACAATACCTTGACACATTGATCAGTCACACTTTCAGCCGTGCTCGTACAGAATGTAAACCTTGAGGACACGATACAAAGGGTGTTTTGTATCTGGTGCAAATATCAGGGGATAGATTTGTGCAAAGTTTTGTCTCTGTGTTTCTCTTTGAACTGTGCTTAAATTGCTCTTGTTTTTTGTACACATTAATACTTAATACATCATGACAATATCAACACAAAATCAAGAGAAAGAGATAGCATTTTATATGGACCACAGATATCACATACTACAGTATATAGGATAGGATAGCCCTTAGTATTGATAATAAGCGTTGTTATTGATGAAGATTTTTTTTTTTTCTCTTTTCTTTTTTTTTTAAACTCATACTGGCTGAAGTGCGTTATGATACAGCAAGGTCTTCGTCTTGAGGATGGGAAGGGCTTCCTAACCATCCGAGTCTCTTACGGCATACGGAGCCATGCAGGAGAAAGGCCTCAGGATGCCCCTCGCTCCTGACTCAGAGGATTTTGGCTCGCTCTGAAGCCAATCCTTTGACTGTACAAAACATCACTGACTCGTATAATCTGTCACCTGGTGAGAAGAATAAAATGGTGATTGTCAGACCAGCTTCTTCTGTGGTTTTTTCTTTGTATCTCCATAAATGGCTTTGAAGGACAGTTGTGTAAGTGCAACCTCTGCGTCATGGTCTATTCATTTGTGCTCTGTAGAAAAACCTTTGCTCCTCATACACAACCTACATAAAAGCAAGTTGCCTTTTTATTGGTAAACTGAACACATACGTCTGTTCGGTAATCTCTTGACTCGTGTGTGTGTTCACGTCAAGATTTTTTGTAATATTGTGGCTGATGGCTCTATATTATTTGGTAGCCCACTGTTTTTACAGTTAGGTCCTGATCTATAGATGGGAACACTAGGGAAAACTTACCCAAAATGTAATCTAACGTCAGCTTACACTGCTGTAGTGTAACAGTGATCAGCGTGTGTGGTCCTCTGGGGATTTGATCTAAGGTCACATGGAAAACTAGGCAACCCAGGCATCAGATTTGTAATGTGGGTACGTCCGCAGTTTAAATCGGTCGCAGAGTCCTGCCAATAGTGTCAGGCTGCTGTGTCCCAGTCAGAACCAGCCCCCACCTTGTCCGCTCATTTACAAAGGAAGCAACAAAAAGCAGTTCTGTTTCCCCGTGTCAGGATGAGGTTGGTTCAGCAGAGTGTCACATCTCCAAAATCCCTCACCAGGCGCTTGGTTCATCCAGACTCATCCGGTGCACCGGGCTCTTTACCTATGGGATTCAGTTTAATAAATCATCGATGGCGAGGGCTGAGCAGGTTGACAGTCCAGCAGGTAGTTGGCTCAATTCTCTATGAAATTCTGTGATACAATATTCCATATGGTCCTCCTCCTCATCCGCCTCATCTTTTATTTTTTTGATATCGTCTGGTTCCCTATCTAATATGGCTCCTGAGTACTTTTTGAAAAACATATATATAAAAACAAAATTATGAACGACACTTCTGTTGGTTTTGTTTCACCCTTCTAGTCAGTCTTTCTACAAGTAATGGCACCGCTGTATATGGCAATATGGCAAATTCTGTTACAAAATATGGCTGATGTAGGCTATCACATAATTGGAACGGATATTCCCCTCCTAGATTTTTAATTAAGTAATCATATTTAAGCTATTTAATTACAAGATAACACTAATTTGAATAGCCTAAACACATTATACTGTTACTATACTTTATACTTCTAGTTGTATTTCTTGTAGTTGTATATCTAATAGTTAAATGCAGAAGGGTGATCTATTCCCATACCTTACATGAGGGGTAAACTCTACATTAGGCACAAACCTCACACTGTCACCTCATTTTTACTCCCCGTCCTGATCCCCTGACTGCCCCCTCCACTTCCTCCTGACCCTCCGCCGCCCCCTCCCGGTATGAAATGTAGCTGCTCAATTGTGTTCTGCCTTTTCGCTGCAAAAGCCATCCTCCTCGCGCTGTGGCCCCCTAGTGTTCCCGTTCCCATGACTACCCCCGCCCCGGGCATCTCCCCCGCCCAGCCCATGCCCCCACTCATGTGCCCCGTCATGGCCGTGTTCCTCTCCTGCTCTCGTCCAGACGTCGGGTGAGAGTTCATCTTGATCATGTGGTGCCGGTCAAGGGAGGGCGTGGCGCAGACGTTCTGCTGGGACTGGGCCTTCTGCTGGCGAGGCAGCGTGGGGACAATCCCTCCGGTGTGGGCGTATGGATCTACAACACCCATACCGCCAACCCCCATCCTCTCCTCCAAATGGTCCGGTGACATGAGCAGCCGTTCCTCCTGCCGTCTCTCCTGCCTGTCCTGGGTCTTGCGGGTGAGGGTCTGCGTGTTGGAGTTCTTATTGGAGGCAGCCATGGCTTTGTAGTACTGGTGTTGCTGGTTCTTGGACAGCCTGGACAGAGTCCCCGTGTTGCCAGGGACATCACCCATGTTGAGCAGCTGGTCAGTGGACTTGACTTTCCTCGGGGGCTTGGAGAGAGTGTCGTAGTTGGGGTTGTACTGGGGCTCCGGGGGATCCAGAGGGTAAGGATTGGGGGTGGGTGAGGCAGGCATGCCAGAAGGCGGCGGTGGGATCCAGGGACGAACTGCGTGCCTGGGGAGGGTTCCTCTCCCACTGAGGGTGTAGTCTCCGCCCCAGTGGAGGTGGTGCTGAGAGGACTGGAGGGCTGGCTGGGCTGTGTGAGGCCGGCGCTTGGTTGTGCAGTAACCAGACGAGTACTCATCAAGACCTTTCTCTGAAAGCCAAACAAAATTTATCTGAATTGTTTATCACCACTGTAAATAGAATCAGCACATAATGACGAATCCTGCACTTTATGCCATAGTGTCAAGAGTGTCACCGTGCTTCAGTACACATGAAACTGCTGCACAAAACACAGTTAGGCGAGTGAGGGGTAGACAGGCTGGTACATTTGTCCTCATTTCTCGAAAACGAAGGTACTTACCGAGGCGTTTGAGGGAGGAGTATCTGTTGAGCTCAGGCTTGGTGGCGCTCTCATAGGAGGGAGGCAGCTGAGCCAGGTTGTGCAGGGAGTGGTGGAAGGCAGGCTGGGATTTGGTGTTGTTGTGTTTACTGGAGAGCAGGGTGCCTCCAGCTGCCAGCTGAGCATTGTTCATTCGAGGGGTGCGTTCTATGGAGACCACAGGGAGAAAACGACTGTGTGTTAAATGAGATTTGCTCCTCTGGATAAAGCGCGCTGCACGTAGCAGCATGTGAATCTGCTAAGATTCACTGGAACAGACAGATTTTAACTTGTTTTCAACACTAACAAAAGCAACCAAGGCTATGACAATCATTATTATTGTTGGGATGAATGAGTCTACTTTTGAGCTTAAAATGAAACTGAATGAAGTAAATGAAGCATCGTGGTGATTACATGTAATTTACATAGGAGCCCGGCTTTCACCAGCTGCCTTACCGATAGTTGCCGTGTGTTTGGGGCTGGAGCCTGATGAGTGGATGAAATTGTGTTGCAAATTGCCCACTGTAAGTCAAAAGAACACAAGGTAATCAGTTACAAAATGGATGTCAGGCAGTTTCAAGCTCAATGGTATTTTAGCATAAAAAGATCAAGGCAACTACGCACATATAGCTATCTGCATCAATTATCTTCACATGATCCTATGAGGCATACATATTTTGTAAGCACTTATGTCCAGATTCCTGTGCATTTAACTATTTTTGGAGTGCAGATTTAGTACGATCACATGAGGAAGTCAGAGGTATCTCATTTTGGTGACCACAGTCAGTACAGAGAAATACTGAGGCTAAAGATTTACTTTTTTTTTTCGTTGAGGATTCTTATTTTTCCTGTATTTTAAATAGTTGCAAAGTTATCTTGATGGTGGGACTGGGACACACACACACACACACACACACACACACACACAAAAGAAACATGCGTTCATATACAGACACGACATACACAAGGTTCCTCTGCATACAGGGGATGCAGTTACAAAAGGTCTGGTTGTGCTATTCACTAATGCTGTAACAGCCCTACACCCTCACATCTGTTGTCCTTGCTGGGCAGTCCTGGGGCGTAAAGATTTTTTGGAGCTCTCCCCAGTGTCCCCTGTCCATCCCCAACAGTCAGAGCCACGCTGTTGTTTCTCTCATCCTGCTGGACCGGGCTCGACTGGTGCCGCAACATGTCAACCAGGGCTCTAATGACATAATAAACACAAACGAAAGGGAAATATAAGAATTAACTTGACAGTAATTGGCTAATGGCCGACTGTAATGTCACATCAGTTTCTACCAACATCTCTAACACTATGTTATACTTAGTAGTCTATGTTTTAGCTCTAACACTCTTTCGAAATGAGGATTTTTTTTCATATTTGTCATTATAAATATTGTTAACAATGTATCTTATTTACCTTAAGATGAAGATTTGTAAGAATAAGATTTTAGAGCAATTTATTGGTCCCTTCTTAAAGGGGCCAACCACCACTTAATATTGGTCTACTACCATCATCCTCCACTAGTGTAGCCAAAGACTGAAAAATGTAACCTGTACAAAAATCTAAATGCACATATTCAATGCCAAGATTATTGGTGTTATATGAGCTAAAAAGCCCAGAGGAAATCAAAACAACTACGAGTTCTGCAGCAGCCACTTGATGAAGATCAAATATGTTTCAGCTGATGACTAACAATATTATTCCGAGCCCAGAATGATGAATCTAGGCCATTTATGGAGTCCTGAAAACCTAATTTCATTACAGCATTCATATATGGAATGAAGAAACAAATCCAGCAGTGACGGGTGATGAAAGGAAAACTTGTCTAAACCTCACCTGGGCATATTGAGGTCCCTTTGATTGGCTTCCTGTTGCACCTTGTTGAAGACCACTTTGATGCCCACAGCAACAGCCACCATGAACACAACCACACCACCGATGACAAAGCCAGTGTTGTGGCTCTGCTGCTTCAGTGGGTCAAAGTCTGGGTCAGGACCTAATTCTCCTGGTATTATCATTGCGTCTGTCTGTGGCTTGGCCCAGTCTGGAGAGTCATAGTTTTTACAGCTGTCCTGCTCCAGTTGCCGGCTACGCTCTGGACAGCAGAAGCGGTAGTGGCAGGTTCCACAGCAGTAGATGAAGGTGTCCTTGGAGCAGTTGAAAGCGCTGTCAAAGTGTCCCATTACATCGTAATACCCCCGACATACATCCATCCATACATCTATCAGTCGTGGTCGGATGGGCGCTACCTGGGCGGCACCTAAGGGAGGAGCCAGGGCCTCCGCTGAAGTCACATTCTTAGGGAACATGACCTGGGGCAGGGGTCTCGGAGGCGCCTCCAGAACTCCCTCTGAGGTCTCTGGAAGTTTCTCGGGGGTTTTGGTCCTGCCTTGGAGAGCAGCTGGCCTGATATTGGCCTGGATGGCAAGGAGCAGGAGCGAGGGGCTGGGGTCAGTTTTGGGCTCCTCTGTGAACGGCCTCCCTGAGGGGTCAAGGTGCTGAGGAGGGGGGGAGGGAGAGGTCTCCACAAAAGTGGTAAGTGGGGCAGTAAGGAGGGAGAGCAGGGAGACAGCGAGGACTCTGAGATTGGTGGTGGGCGTCATTTTTACATGACTAAGAGATCTATTTTCTGTTGTTGAGTCAATGCAGTTACAACGCTGTATCCGCTTTTGCAGTTTAACCCACTAAAACAGCATGTGAAATATTCAAGAAGCATGTACGACCTACTGAATATTGATGATGTATCAATAGTTTCATTCAGTAATGTTGCATGATGAATTTTGAAACCAGGTGTTTTGTTTTGTCAGAAACTGAGTATTTATATGATGTAATAGCAGAGAAGGCCAGGGACAATAAAAATGTTTGTGTTTCAATAACTGCAGTTAATAGAATTCAAATTATTTTAATTTACTCCTAGAAAGGAACTCTGAATGTGTAATGATTTCATCTTTTGCCCTCCAAAGCCACCTCTTAAGTCTACAACACTAAAATGGATGCAGCTTTGTAAAAAGGACAAATTGAGAACAACGATCCTCATGCTTTTAGTCCTTAATGTCTTATTCTACATGTCCCACTGAACAAAAGACCGCGTGTCTTAACGTCCTGCTGGATGGAATTAATTTTCATAAGCGCAAAGCCCAGTAGAAATTAGTAGCAACTATTTTCAATAAAATATGGCAATCCTATACATTCCTGTGCTGATCATGGCACTTGAACAATAGTCTATGGCCAGTGCTATGTCAAATGTAAACAGTTTTATCTGTTTTGTTCATTCCTGGATGACTATTCCAGTCTGGCACAACATACATTCAGAATTGGCACTTATTTAAGCCGTAAGAAATTCTTTTCTGGAAAAACGTATGAAATCTTTAACTCTTGTCATATATTTGGTGCTTTTTGGCATTGTAAACAATCAAATGGAAACAACAGACTGCACCACTGATGAAAACTGTTCATTTACGATGCCTAGTTTCTCTGGAGCAGGGACTTATCTCCATGTTAACTTGTTCTAGGCACTCGTCACATCTGTAGATACACCGTGTGCTTTATCTCAGTCTTTTCTATGGTGGGATTAATGTGCATCAGTTCTTGCCTGGCACGGACTGTTTCTGTGATTGGGATGGGGGTGATAATGAGGCAGGCTCAGCTTAAGTGCTAGAAGACTGTAACAACTGAAAATCAGGAGTAAGCATAAACCAAATAAATGACTCCCAGCATGTGAAACACATTGCAAAATGAGGCAAATGTCGTGGATTTTAAATGCTCCGCATTCAGCTTTTAGGCACAAAATAACTCATTAGATATGAACTGAATGGCACATCGCTTCTCCATGTGACACGTCTCTCTAAGTAAAATTATTCCTGATTTGTGTCGGAGGTTCAAAGAATATCACTTTTGTTGAGAAATATGTAAATGTGTGAAGTTATTGTGTTGGAGGTGTTGGCAATAATAGACAGAGGCAGATCTGTCTCCCACAGAAATTATAATTATATGTAATTATCAAAACGTCCCTATCTGTAGCAGAGAATGTAGGCACAGATGGGGGAGACAGAATGCTGAAATCACCGAGGGCTCCACTTGTTTCAGTTACATGCTCCTCTAACCTTCTGAGGAGAGTTCAGTGGAGGAAAAATGAGAGACACAAAGCAGCAGTTCTCCCACTGACTAATGTTTCCAAAAGAGCTCTCCGGCACAAATTTTTTTTCTTCTTGTCGACTCTAAACGTTCTGCTTGATTTCCAGAATTGTCTTGAGGTTTACATGTCGACAGTCAAACCTGGAATGTGCTGGCCGAGAGATCCACTGTAACACAAATGAGAGACATGATTAGAAAGGAGCTCTGCAACCTCTTCTCCGCACTTATTGACACTTGGGTGCACGCACATTTTGAGTACATGTGCACACAATACAGTAATTTTTATTAATTACATTATGTGTGTGTGTGTGTGTGTGTGTGTATGTGTGTGTGTGCATTGTGGGAAGCCGAGTGTGTGTTAGTGTGCCTGTTTGGCTGCAGGAGGAACACACTCCTGAAAAGCCAATGATAGAGAAAGAGAGAAAGAGAGCAGAGGGATAAATGCAGGGTAGGGATTTAAATGAGCAAAGAGATTGTGGCGAGCGGGAAGAGCCAGAGGTATAGATGCAGAGACGACCATGAGTGGGAGGGCGGTGTGTGGGTGGCACAGAATCAAGTACATTTCTCCCAGCACTTACCAATACAACATAGCACATCACACAAACAGCACCACCAAACAGATCTGCAAATACTGTCCATGCCACACACAAGAAGAGTGCTAATCAAGACTGCGAATCAGTCCCTGTTAGAACAGTCAAAGGGGAAGAATCTGAAACTGTACAAAGGGTTTGTGTGTGTGTGTGTGTGTGTGTGTGTGTGTGTGTTTGTGTGTGTGTACATGCGTGTGCATGTGAGAGACTATAGTAGGCATTCTGTAAACCTCCTTGTAGTCAGTCTCTGCCTCTCCTTTATTCCTCTTGCTCCCTCCTTCTCCTCTTTCTCCCTCATTCTGCCTTTCTCTCTTTCTCAGATTCTGTGCGTGGGTTGAGGCAGCTAACTCTCTCAGAATAGCACTGCAGCTCTGTCTGTGTGTGAGTGAAAGCGGCAGTGAAAGAGAAGGGAGGCAGAATCCAATCTACACCCATTAACCAAACCAGATTTCAAAGTCACATCTGCATCTTGCTCGACAAGATGACGCCGATGCCTTACACTGTCATCTGTCAGCGCTGCTCAACTTCCATTGCCGTTTTCGCCCCCTGCTCTGACTCCACTCACTTCATGAGGATTTTCTGGCCAGATATCCAAACCACCCCTCGATAAATGTGCAATTACAGCTGAATGAGGTTTGAAATTCACACTAAGGAAAATATTCATTCAAATGATTGAGGGCAAGTCCTTTTGCACCCAAAATCCCAAAGTCTAATATTACATATTTCCAGTAAAAGTGACTCAACATACAAAAGCAGCAGTCCTTCATGTAGGTACCTCTGTCTGTATTGTGCTGCTGAAGCAATGCAGTAGAGAGGGAGAGAGTGAGGATGGGAAGCAGAGGGTGAAGGGCACACATTGAGAGCTGTGAAGATGCATCCCTGAGTTACATGGCCACTGGAGGGAGGACAAATCGTTTCAGCAGAATCCTGGCATTGCAAGCAATTGTATGAAAGCAAAATGAACCAAGCGCCCCCCAACCCCCTTTACTTTGGTTGCAGGTTGCTAACGAGGCGTGCAGACGGCTGGGCATTCAACAATTTCAACAGGTGTTTGTTGGAAATGGAACAAAATGGCCTCTTTTTCTTTAGACACGCTGTGGCAAACCGCACTGTGGTGTGAATGGGTGACGGGGAAAGAGAAAACCCTGAATACAAATGTCGATGCAAAAGACATTCAATTAGAGTGAAAGCCGCGGAGCAGCGGCTGCTTTGCTAAAATATGAGCTGCGCAATGACTTTGCATCAGCCGAGTGATTTGGACATCGACTCCTCAGACAAAAGTCCATCCTTTGTTAGGTTAATAAGTTGCAACTTGCAATGAACAAGCACGCGGGTTACGGACATGACTTGCATGTATCAGTAGGCTAAGAGTGCGTGGGTGTATCCGTGCCGGTGTGTCTATGTGTGTGCGCGCGCGTGTGTTTGTGTGTGTAGTCCAGCTGGATGTATCCGTGTGTGTGTGTGTGTGTGTGTGTGTGTGTGTGTGTGTGTGTGTGTGTGTGTTGTTATCAGTGGTCTTAACATCAGTATGTTAATGATGTCGCATTTGTCGAATAAAGTGTTTAAGTGATGAAAAACATGTCTGCCCAAAGTAAATCCTGTGTGTAGATGTTTCTGTGGCGCAGCTTTCATCCAAATGTTTTGTCTGACAGCCTCCAGCACAGCTGATGCGTCTAAACAGATGCCAAACTCATTTTTCATACACACGGAAACACGCAGTGAACGTATAAAACAGTTTAGCCTGTAATTCGGTAATTGCTTTTGCATTAGTAAAAGGTGCATAATGTCGTGTCTTACCTGTGCGTTGCTCTGGGGTTTGATGCTGGAGAACAGCGCTGGGAGAGCCTGCGCACTGTATCTCAGCGTCTCGCGGATGGCAGCCTGTTATTGAGGCAGAAGATGATCAGGACAGCTTGAACTGTTGCTGGATCTGCCACCTGTTTTAAACGCCCGTGTTCTTTTTTACAAGTGCCGCAGATCTCAATCGTTCTTGATGTGTCTCCATCCGGCTATTGGTAATCCATTATCACGGCAGAAAGAGGGGGGAAAAAACGCGAGCAGGAGAGTGAGAGAGAGAGAGTCAGTGCCCAACGAGATGTTCTGAGATTTTCTGATACATGTGACAAGGCAATTCAAGTACACACTACATCGGAAAATCCCGTTTGCTGTACAGCACAAGTTACAGCGCAACTATCCTGGAGAACACGCAGTAATCCTGGTGCTCAAAATGTCAAACGCGTCGCCAAAAAAAAATCTTTCCCCTCAATTTAACTTTTCTCCTTCTACAACTGACCGACGCTGGTTCCCTTCATAATTTCCAAGCCAGATAGGTTTACACCGCCTAACTGCGACTGGCCTCACAGAGGTCCGCCAGTGGGGGAGCGCTGTGATTGGTCGGTCAGACTGGCGCTGACGAGACTCTCAACTCCGCGCTGCTCGTCGCTGATGGTCATTAGGCCCATTCAACTGGTGGCGTTCATCTTTATTCACCTCCATTTCATTTCCCTCATTAACTGAATGACCCCGAAGGCTTACATTTAACACAGGCTCTGACGTGGGATTTTAGCGACTATTCCTTTCAAAAAAAAGTAAAAGACGGGGCTGAGACAACGCTGCAAAAACCAGAAAACCCTGCAAAATTAAAGCAGCCGGCAAATTCAACGGAAGATCTCCGAGATCCAAAGTGTGTGAGAGTGTGTGTATGTGGTGTTTCTTTTTGTGTGAGAGAGAGAGAAAAAAAAAAAGAGAGACACACAGAGAGACACGGTTGCCACAGCAACTGTGTCATTATGTTGGTGGCAATTATGAAAGCGATGAAAACGGGGAAGGGGGGAAAAAAGCGCAAAAGCTTTAACACTGGAGCGTGAGCGAAACTGTCAATTAGAGCCAGACCTACATTGGCAAATTCAGACATTTGTTTTTAGTTTAGGGCGAACAGGGGGGTGATCAGAGGTTTGTGAGGGATGAAGTTGGCTCTTGTTTGGCTTCAGTCCACCATCACATTACAGTAACTGCCTCCTCACGATCCTCAGCACATGAATGAATTTAGGTTTTTCCAGTGAATTTCCAACCGAGTATTGTGTAATCTGTGATTACACATTAGGCCTGCAGGATGTTTCACAATTAACTAATTACACTGTATGTGACATAGGAAAACCAGCATGCATTCCCTTTACACCTGACCCAGACCACACATCAGCCCAAAGATTCATATTTAACAAAAGAAACATTTCAACCTGTTTTTTTTTCTCTCTCTCGAAGGTAAATGTTTTTTGCATTAAAAGGGAAAGCTGTGCCATGGAGGTGGATACCAGGTGGGGAAGGAGGTAAGCACTTCCAAAATGGGGCTTGGGGAAAGTGTAAAGTGCTACGTGGAACCCCAGGTGTCTAAGAAGGGCCTGATAATTACCTGCATGGCAAGCTGCTATTTCTACACAGGTGGGTGGGCTGCTGCATGTGTGCAGCAGAGGCCAGTGGAGCCCTTCATTAGATGGTCCAGTGACGCTCTACCGGGTGCACTTTCACTCACTGGTTTGCTGGGGTGGATGCAATTACTGGTTTCTTCATAACGGTTATTCCATCACTGCAGAACAGGAGACCACTATAAACAAAATGAAGTGCTATTATACGTCACTGAGCAGTAACTCTTTATCCTAGTAGCCATTCTCAGTGGTTACACTGATACACTCGCACCCATCATTGCATAAGTTACATTTTTAACATAACAATTATGCATGCAAAGCAACACCAAATAAAAGCGCAAATATGACTCATTTTTCATTTCACTTCTCATATTTCAATGTTTTATTTATTTAAATAATTTAAAATGGACACAAAATATCCAGCCAACAGTCTGCACATTAACAGGGGTTTCAAAGGCACCTTTTCCATCCACATTAAGACAGCGCTTCAGTGTGTTTCCTTGGGAAATGTAGGCCCCGCGTGCATTTAGAACAGAGAGAAAACCTGCCCAGGAAACCCTGCTAGTGCAACGGGTGGGGAGACAATTTCTATCAAACGTGGAGGTTTTCCTACTGATGTCTTCTCTGGTACCCACATGGCTGGTCGGAGAGCTGGGTATTTAAGAGCACATACTTCTTTGTAGGGAAGTAGGGGTAGTTTAAGCAAGTCACATCACTGTATGCTTAATACAGAGAATAGATGATTTTTTTTTTTTTTTTTTTTTTTTTTTTTTTTAAATAGAGTTGTCTGGCAACCTACCCTGTTCCCATACAGCCACTGATCTATGTCTTCACACACAACCACAAGACAGCTGAATATGGACATGTCAATTATAAACAACTTTTGAAAATACTAGACAGTGAAACAATTTTAGAGAAATAAAAAAAAATTAAGGGGGTTGAGACTCTATGAAGAACACAACAGACTTTCTACTCTGCTGCAAACTCCTGCCATGCCTTTACTTCAGTCAGTTCAGTTATGAAAAGTACACTTTAAAAAGATGTTACTATTTCGTGTGACATTAACAACATTTCTCTCCCAATTGTGACTTCTTGCATAATTGTTTGGCAACTTCCACCATTATTTCCTTTGAGCTCAATTTGAAAACCTGACATTAATTAAAGTAACATCTTGGTTTAGACTCAAGAGCGAGCCTGGCTGAGCAGTACACAGTACCATCACAGCAGCATTTACCAAGAAATACTTTAAAAAGGAGCTGCTATCAAGTCTGAGGTTATGTTTCATTAAAGGACAGACATTAGAGGCCACGTTTTACACAGTGAAAACCATTCCCTGTGTCATTCATTCTGAAGACGGCCGAGGGAAGAATACAAATGATGGCATCATTTTCGCAGTGAAAGTGTATTCGTTCATTTAAAAGAGGGAACAAATATTTTTCATCACGTCTTTAGGTATGGAAACAATTAACAAACCTGTAATGCCAACTGGTGGCAAAACAAAGGGTAAGGTATGAGTACAAAGTGGATAGTCTGGATTGGTGGTAGAAAGAGTCAGAAAAAAAGGGAACAAAAACATCATCAGCACACTTCAATATTTATATTTACACACTCTTGCGCGCACACACACACACACATTACACACACACTGAAAATTTCGCTGAGGTATTAAAGTCGCCTCAATGCACGCTTTTTATCTGCTTTCTTTTTCCCTGCTACATTATTAGTGCTACTACTACTACTGTTGCTATTGCTGGTGGTGGTACTGGCTCCATTAGCACCATTACCCAGAGCTGCTGGCACAGCTGCTGCACTGGGTCCCGCTCTCTTTGTGGGGTCACCTGCGTGCTTCTTTGGCTGTGGGCCATCATTAGGGTCCTGAGGAGCCCCAGAAGTCCCGCCGGGCCCGCCCATTGCGTGGATCTCTGTGAGCAGACGAGCACGGGACTCATATTCTGCATAGTCCTCTAACAGCAAACGTCCGGCCTCTTCGTTCAGAGCCGACTCTGGGTTCGGATGGATGAGAAGACACTTGATTGTCTGTGGGGAAATAAAGGAGAAGACAGAAATGTAAAAAATAGTGGAGGAAACCATGTCAATACTCAGAATAACGAAGACTGATGGTTCATCTTACAAGTAAGACATGTCTGAGGCCGAGTTCTGCCTTCCAGTCCCTCTTCAACACGTTGACACAGATCTCTCCCTTGTGACCCACGTTGGGGTGAAAAATCTTGGTCAGGAAATACCCCTTGGGTGGAACCGCAGGGAAGTCCTTCCCAAGGACCAGTCGCATTCGGAAAATGCCACCAGCAAATGGAGTTCCCTCTGTCAAAGCATAAAGAATTCATCACATGAACAGTATGTCCTCACTGTGCCAAACTTGCTCCATAAAAAGAAAGAGGGTCATAGAGCGGCAACTGAGTCAACTAACAAAAACAGAAAAATATTACATCCAAGCCAGTCATAGATCATTAGTTCAAACTCCTTGACTTAATCATAAATATTCCGGTTCTAATGAAAACTCTAATGAACACATGACCTTATCAAATGTACTCTATTGCCTCTCGAAAATAATGAATACATTATCTGCAATAGCTTGTAAGTACACCGTCCTTGGACTGAGGAAAGCAATACGACAGTTTTGGCTGTACTGTGTTCTGATACCAGTACTAGTATCAGTAGCCATTAAGTCAAACTGATGCAGAGAAGGTCCTCTGTGGAGGAGTTAACGAAATGTGTACAAGTGTCACTTAACAATAACAAGGTCTGAAGCAGAGAGCTCATAGTGACAAGACAGCATGGACTGGCTGTGTGGTAAGAGTGGGTTATGCTTCTCACATGATTTGCAACACCCCAAAAATAAAGCACAATAATGTAAATTTTCAAGAAGCCATGGAAAAGAATATTTTCTACAATGAAAAACTGATAAATGAATGCACGTCCTAAGGAAGTGTTAGCCTGATGAGTAAAAAATGATGTAAAGAGTTACAATTAAGCTTGGATAGTTCACCACCAACTACCTAAACATAGTGGAGCAGACGACCGTCACATGTTAGCCATCATAAGAGAGAGGTTAACAGGCAAGAGCTGTTATTACCTTAGGCTGATAATAGAAGTTTGGTCATCAAGTGAAATCTCCTTCTACTGCCAAATATGCCAGTATGAGCCGTTTTACTCAATGTGTAGTGGTGGGGCAGCTGCAAGTATGACCAGTGTTTAGGTAGGTTCTATTTGGGCGGCCTGTCCAGGTACATAAAGTCATTTGGTTTTAACCTAGGTTAATCTTACATTAGAACACCTTATTTCACTCTTACTAAACTAAACTCAGTAACTGAGTGAGGACTCGAGGCATCTTTGTGGGCAGCCAGCTAGCTAGCGTCTACCGATAGCCTGCATGTGAAATGTTTAGGGAACATCGGTAGACTGCAGGGTCTTTCACAGTCTGCCTATGAGGCATTTACAGGACATCTGTAAATTGTAGCTGCAGAAAATGAAACTCTCCCCCTCTAAACTGCAGGAGCCTCTGCATGCACATCGGTCAGACATCGCAGCAACCACCACAAGTAAATTCTCAACCTGTGGGAAACACTAATGACGCAGATGCAGTATAAATTAAAAGTTGCAGTTTTTAAGTCGACCTTTGAAGTACAGTGCATTCACAAAGTATTCAGGCCACTTCTCTTTTTTCACACTGTTTTATGTTGCAGTCTTATGCTAAAATTGTATGATTCATTTTTTCCCCTCATCAATCGACACTCAATATCCCATAATGACAAAGTGATTAAATTGAATTTTAGAAATTTATTAAGAAAGGAAAACCTTAATATCACATTGGCATTCCCATTTCTGAATGCACTGTATATGGTCTCCTCAAGAATCTTTACTGTTACCCAATAGTTTGCATGTCTGATAAATAAAATGTCAAAATACACATTCTGTATTAACCTTTCAGTGATTCCATTCGGCCAGGGTCTCCGATGTATTTATGGACAATGAGATAGTGAGATATGCTGCCTCATGGTCAGACAGAAACAGATCCAAACAAATACTGAGATGTAAAAAACACTGTTGTGTGAGATTTTAAAACTTGAAAATGAAATAAAAGATAAAAAACAGAGGGCCCATCTCTGCACAATCCTTACCTGGTCCTTCAATGGCTGTGTGCAGTTCTGTTATGTCCTCCTCACTGGGATAAATCTTGATACCCTCAGGCGGGTCTGCTGCTAAAGCTGAAACCTCTTTGTAGACCAAGCGAAGAACATGAGGGGGTAAATTCTCCACATTGGAGTTCTGGAGAGAGATGTAAAGATGGTTTAGACAACTCAGGTTATGCATATGTACAAACACAAACCTACTATAAAAGGGAAAATCTCAGAGCTAGGGCTATTTTGATAATGTTGAGAGAAAGGCTCACACTACTTTACTGACGCCATTAACTTGGCAGACAGAAAATAGTTAAATACACCTAAATGTCTATAAACTTTGTGTAGTATATTGATAATGGCCTGCAACAACTTTAGAAAGTTAAAAAAAGACCTTTAATAAACCATTGTTGATATTTTTCATGTCAAATATATATATATATATACCATGCCAGCAAGTACCGTGGTTTTATTTCTTTCAGACATTTTGACTTCAGCAAAAATGCCACATCAAGGTTGTGAAAACAATGATAACTGGCATCAGCTTCGATGAGCCATATGAAGCTGTCAATTTTCTGACATCGTGCAGTTAATAGTTAATTGCGCTAACACGAAAATAAACCAATGTGACCGTTCTTAATGATATCCACAGAATATGTTCAATATACTAGTGTTTTTAATGAGAAATACTCACTATATCACTCAAGATCCATGTAGCATAAAACAAAGACCCCATCAACCTGAGATCTTTTTTCTCCTTTCTGACTGTGTTAGGCTGCTCTTCATCAATTGCTGTTCTTAATTATATTTTCATAATGATGATACAAAGTTTCACCTTTCTGGCAAAGGTTCTTACACTCGGTAAGTATCCTCAAATAAGTCAGACAAGTTTTGGCCTAACTTGTTTAACCTGGTCTTATCTGACCTCGACACAATCCCAAAAGCCAGGTAACATAACTATAATAGTGAGGTAAATGTAACGTTCATCCCTTTGTAACTTTACGTTAGCTTTAGCAATGCTAGCCTAGCCTCGATCAGATAGCGTTAATGTCAAAGCTGCTCGGTGGTTTTAAAATGTGTGATACAGTCTTTATTATATTCAGTCAAATAGTTAAATTATACAAATATAGAAGACGATTCTTAATTAAAGCCAGAGACTCCAGCAAATAGACACAACCCAAATTAAAAGCTCGACGACTTGCGACGGATAAACATCGCATCAAGCTAGCAGCTACCCCCATTAGCCCCGTTAGCAGTGAGCTCGGCTATCCGACTTACCATCTTTAATATGAGTTCTGCTAAGGTGTTGGATGCCTGGCTACTGTCAGGTAAGAGGAGACCTTTCCGTTAACGTTTGGAAAAAAAAACTATCTTTGATGACAACTTAGCCCAGTGTCACTGGCTGCTGTTCTTTTCTTCTTTTCGTTGACACAGGAACAAAAATACGATCCTCAGTTTAACCTACCACCACTGACCAATGGGCATCTTAGAGACGCAATACGTCATAAAACTTGATCCAATCACGATGCACTATTGTCGTTGCATCCCAGTCGAAAGCCCTATCAGCCACACGGAGTCGAAACTAAGACTGATACTGTTCAGCTATTGGTCTGTTTGAAAAACTCACACATACCCCCCCCATGAGCAGTACTGAAAAAAATCTGTTAAAATGAAACAATAAAGATAAAGAAGATCCACAAGAGTAAAACAGAAACACTCGCATGGAAACGTTAATAGAACAGAATATGTGATCAGTAGACTAGATTAAGTGTTAGGGGAAGTATTCAGACCCATTACAATACCACTCTGTGAAAATTCTCTATTACAAGTAAAAGCCCTGCTTTGAAAATGATACTTGAGTAAAAGTATGTAAACATAATCAGGAAAATGTACTTTGTCGATCAATAGACCTTAAAATTATTAGAAATAATACAAAGCAGAAAAGGAAAAGGAGCAAATCTTCACATAGAAGATGAAATGTAATCTCCACATTTGAGTTGCCAAGTACTTGCCAATTATTTTTCTTTCTATTAACTAATGGTTTAAGTTCTACTGGCAAAAAGTGGCAAACCCCACAGGATATTTTGTTGTTCACAACTTAAACACAACTATTATTTTTTAGTTTAGTTTAATTTAGTTTATTTTAATTGACATCACAAAAGGAATAAATCAAATCACAAACAACTACAAAAAAGGTCAAGGATATCCAAGACTTATTTCCACAGTGGTTGTGGATGTGAGTTCAGGTGACAACAAAACTAACACAACTGATATCTACAGTATATCACAAACAATAAAAACAGGAGACACAGGACAAACATCCAGAAAAGACAGTGAAATTAATTACATTTAGGTTATCTAGATGTATGAGTTTTAGCTACCCCTATAGATAACTGCCTTTGTCATGATTCAAGACAATAACTTATATAAAGCACAAACAAAATACTTAACAGCCAGAGTTAGCTAAAAGTACCCGTTCTGAAGAGTACTTGTACAGATCCCTGGCTTGATTCCAGCTGGGGACCTATGTTGATCCTTCTGCTTGTCTCTTATACTGTCACTGTCTGACTAAGGAAAATACAAAAAAACATAGAATCTGTACCTTCAAGATCATTGATCAGGATAAGTGCATTCATTGCATTGTGATACACGCTTGATGCATATACATACATATGGTATAGTGGGTTATATGAAGGCTGTTATCTTCTTCCTCATAAACATCTCATGCGTGGAGGCCAATTTTCAATAAGATGATTATGGAATTCATATTTTAGGTGCATGTGGTGGCCTACTGGTTAAGGTGCATACCACATAACCACAACATCCATGGTTTGATTCCTGGCTTGGTAACCCTTTTGCATATCATACCCAGTGATGGAAGGTAACTGAGTATAATTAGTCAAGTACTGTGTCTGTACTGTACACTCATATTTTGGTCTCCCCTGGGCAGTTACCCACTGTGCCCAGTTGGTCATCCAATCCTGCATGACACTTGTATTTGTATTATTATCCATATTTGGTGTAAACTAAAGGGAAGAAGAGAAGAAACAGTTTTGCTGAAGGGCCAGGTTTAGCCCACGGGACGCTCTTGTCCACCCCTGGGTCAACATGATCAACAATAACCAGGCTGAGCACTAGAGGGCGCTTAAACATAACATCCACAGTTGTTAGCAGGGACAGAGCCTGGTGGGTTGTGAACAGAACGCTTTTGCTCGGTGTCCCTAAACAAAGGAAACAGGCTGCCTGTAACGTTTGTTATTATTTGAACGAGTTCAGCGGAGTCACGGTTAAAGTGACGGAGTTTCTAGTGTTCCTGTGCTTATATCGTAAATGGGCGTGACAGCTGCACAACAACAACAACAACACAACAAAAACAACGGCTCTGCTTCCGGTTTCTGGATGTAGCTGTCAGACTCCAGCATCTTTTTAACGAGGAACCGCTTTATCAGCAGGTCAGTAGCTTCATTTAGCTGTTGTCAATTAATAATTGTCACTTTTTTCAAACGGTCAACAACCAAATTCAGAGTATAATCAGCAGGCTGTCACTTTTTAGCCTAATTTAACGTAAGAAGTTGCTAACATATTTTAAGTTACTGTTAGCTTGAGTGGGCAGTGAACTGTGCTGCGTGGTTGCCCCGTTAGCTAACTAGCTGTAACGTGTTTACTCCGTTAACGTTACTCCTTTCTGTGTGTTTGTGTGCGGTAAGCAAGCATTAGCATGAGCGAAGGAGAAGTTTTTCATGAGAAGCAACGACTGGAGCTGTGCGCCATTCATGCACTCAACAACGTGCTCCAGGAGCGGGTGTTCACCAAGGAGACAGCCGATGACATCTGCAAACGGTAGGGTAACGTCTGGATGATGTGTCGGTGTACGTGCTCACTTGGCTACAAACAGAGGAGGAAACACATGCAGCTGATTTGCATCATCAAACAATTACTTTCAAAGCAGGAATCGTATGGAATTAGGATGCAACAGTGGCGTTGCTTAGAAACCTGCCCCCCTTCCCCCCACTCACTCATAGACACACACACGCGCACATGCACACGCACACATTTTATGTTCAGTTTTTGTTGATTCTGTGTGAAAGAGGTGTTGATTCACTGTTTGATCATTTGGAGGTTGCAACTTGTGGTTCTGATGAATTGTATGGCATTATGTTGACAGGTTTTCATTATTTTGTCCACCCCATTCAAATCAATGAGTGCAGGCTAAGTGTCACGAACTTAAAAAGAATAATAAAATAGATGCTTCATTGTAGTTGACATGTCACCCTTGTTGTGTGTGACAGTGTTCCAAATAAAATTCTTTAATTAAAAAATATATTATAATAATTTGGTTATATAGTGTTCCTTAACAAAACCTAATCTTCTCTTACTTTTTGTGATCCCACTGATGTCTACTTTCTGCATTTTATCATTCAAGGTAGACTATACATCTGTGGGTTCACAAAAATACATTTAAACATGCAACCCAGCGCTTGATAACAGATGGAAAAAATTTCAAATATATATGAAATGTAATGTAACCTTTAGGGTAAAAGTTAAGATTTCACACAGCAAAAACCATTGTATTTAGTGTTGCTATTGTTTAAGAGGTCATTTACTAAATGAATTAACTAGTTGACGAGATGAGTCATGATCTGGGTAGCTCATGACCTGAAAAATTCCCTGTGGGAAACCGTGTGACTCAGAGAAACTTTGTTCAAGTTGTTATAAACAAGTTTTATTTCAATGAAGGGTGGTTTTGAAAAAATGAAGCCACATCCAATTAAAATGACAATGGATAGTGAACAGCCCAGATTATGGAGGAATAATCTTACAGAGGAGAGAGGAGAATTAACTTCAGTATTCTTGATTCTGAAGTGATGGAAAGAGGAGTCCTTCCCACAAATGGCCTAACTTAAAACTGAGCTGTACCAAATACGAGTTGGGTTTTCCCTTTAAAACGCTGTATTGGTCTGTTGCTTCCTCTTTGTAGGCTGGCTCCACAGTGTGTGGTGAACCCTCATCGGTCAGTGTTAGGCACGGGAAACTATGACGTCAACGTCATCATGGCTGCACTACAGAGCAGGGAACTGGCTGCAGTGTGGTGGGATAAACGCAGGTGAGTGAGACACACTGAGCCTGTGCAATTAGAGTTTTTTCTTTTCAGCAACTTTAAGCCTTACTGCACTAACATGGGAGCTCAGAACACTCATGACTTGAAAAGCTCTGGGGTTGGACAGGTTCACACCGAATTTCTATTTTAAAAATTCCAACGTCATTTAATGAGCCCTTTAATAGATACGTACTGTTACTCAATTGACAACAAGGCACTGACCCCAACAGCTCAAGAGGCCCTTATCACACTAATTTGCAAGCCAGACAATGGCCCTGTTCAGACCTTGTATTAACATCCGTCTCTGGTGATCACAAGTGGACAGCTCTGTGAATGCATCCAAGACGCATTTGAGATCTGATCACTCAGACCACATTCGGAGGTGGTCTGGGCCACATGTGTCCACATTCTTTTAGCAATTTGAACGCAAATGTGTCCAGGGCCACATTGAAGGACCACCTACTCAACTGACGTCCTCTGCCACAGTCTAATTAGTCCCGCTGCAGTTTCAGTGTATGAGTATTTATGTTTGCTTGAGTGCATGTGATTATCTTCTTGGTCACCCGCCAGTGCTCATCTGTATTTACAAATTTGAAATGTGTAACTTGCTCTTTGTGCCAGGCCATCTTAATCAAAGAATAAAGGCATGTTTTTAGACTCACAGACGGATGCAGAGATTCCCATTTCTGCACAATTAGTAGACCATAATACCAGACCATCATGCAGTCCAACCCCACGGCATATTGCATTGTAGATATGAGGTGTGACTCTCACTTTTTACCCACACTGAATGATCTCTGTGAACCAGTGGTTTATCTTAAGAATCTATTGCAACAGCTCATCATTAAATATCTGCTAGAATGCACTGACATAATAGCTGGATAACAAAAAATATCTCAAAATGGAAACTTTGTTTACCACTCTTTCACTGTTGTTTTTTCTGTTTGTTTTTTTCTAATACAGGACGGTACAGAGTCTTTGCATGTCAAAGGTCCACGGCTTTATTCTTAATGTCCCATCACGAGTATCGCTTGGGATCGTTTCCCTCCCACTACGACGGCGGCACTGGCTCGCAGTTCGGCAAGTTAATGGACAGTACTACAACCTCGACTCCAAACTGAAGAGTCCCGTCTGTATTGGCGGAGAAGCAGAGCTACGGTAAGAATGTGCATTTACATCTTGAAAATGTTTATAGGCTTCTCTGTAAGCTGTGCGTGCGTGTGTGTGTGTGTGTGTGTGTGTGCGTGCGTGCGTGCGTGCGTGCGTGCGTGTGTGGGTGCGTGCGTGCGTGCATGTGTGCACGCGCGCTTGCGAAAACTTGGCCTTTGTGTGCCGCTTGAACTCTGTCTCAGTGAGTGAGTCATCCCATATGAGTGGTCACATGAGGCTTACCTCACTGTTTGTTTGTGTTACGTTGCTGTGCTCAAGTAATCTTCCCCATGTCTGTGTCCATGTTCTTTTAACCTTTTCTCTTCTGTCATCTTTGTTTCACTTTCAGCTCATTTCTCAGCGAACAGCTTTCTCAGGATGTGGCAGAGATGCTCTTGGTTGTCCGGCGGGAGGTGGAGGAGGACGGTTCATGGCTGAACTCTGACAACCCCAAAAAGTGATGCCTTGGGACAGGACATACCTTTATATTTTAGCATGAAAAAAACCTCCTCTGGGAAAATGACAGACGTTTTTTTTAAAACAAACACCTCATTACAAAAACCTCTTCAGGGAATGCACTAAAATACATTTAATATCTACAAACAAACACACAGAGGAAGATCCAAAGAGAAGCAGAGATGGATGTTTACTCCCAAAATAAAGAACTGTTTTGATTGTAAAAACTGTAAAAGCAATTGCTCTGATAGGAACTGTGTATTTGCATTGTCCTGCTCTTGGTACGTTTGTTTGAGAAGGTGCATCAAAACTAACAATGTTACAAGTTTGTGGGCTAGTTTGATGATACTTGAGACATATGACTGAAATTTTACTTTTGTGGTAGAAAAATTGCAAATTGCATGAAAAACCACCTGCAGTAATGATAACTGGACTACTTACTGATTACTAAAAATGAGAAAAATCATTGGTTTGAATTTGCCATGTAGGATATCACTTGATTTTAATGATCCAGTTGGCAAAATTATATCAGTATATACTGTATGTACAAGATGGTTAAGTCCAAATTTATCAGCACCTGAGTGCACCATCTCTTCCCTCGACCTTTGTTGTAAACTTTCTATGCACTACAGAGTTAGATTTGTTAGCACTGTTTGTCTCTGTGTGTGTTCATACAGGAACATGTGATGTGAAGGAATCACCTGGCGAGGCACTGAAGGACAATACCTGTGTATTTGCATGTTTTCATCAGTTTACTTCAAATCACCTTCCATTGTTCATAACATGATGCAGTTCCTTAGATCTTGGTATATGTTTTTCTGATCCTCCAGGCAGCCTTTGTTTTCCTTTCATTTAACTTCAGTGTTAAAAAAACCTGTTTGCAGAGATTTGAAACATGGTTGAGACAGGTACAACGAACATCTTGCCTCTTTATTTTTGTCCAAGTTATGTTATTGTAATGTGATAACACCGTTGAATCCACACAGTAATGAAGCAAGCTTTGACAAAAATAAAAGTAGACATGACCTATAGCAACCAGGTTTCAGGTGTCTTCAGGTTGATATTAACACAGCTTTGTACTGAATGAAAGCCAGGGACGAGCATGGATGTAAGTAGGATTACTATTTTAAATCTAAAAGGAAACAGCAGGAATGTAAAGAACACTATTCTTGATTAGTTGTAACTGAGTTAAACATGCAAAAACACTGGTTCTGTGACTGTATGTAACCGTAATGTTTGTATTCTGTCTCTCCTATTGATCTATGCATATCCAAAAGAACGGGAGCACTGTCTCCAGTACACACTAGTGACTAACTCACACATAAACCTAAGCTCAGAGGCTCGTAATATTGAATCTTATTTATATTAAACTTTGATCTTTTGTTTTAAGTATCTATTGTAACGCATGCTGTGTGTGTTTCTTGTAGACATGATGAAGACCAGTGTCGGGTAATTGAAGTTATTTTTATTTATATTAGACTCTTGAGTGTAAAAGGATGCCATTCAAAAGGAGCATTGATAACCATACAAACTCAATTCAAGGGTTAACAAGGTCAGTTGGAAAGGAAGGGGGATTCAATGAAATCTCCAACATACCATACCATATATACACAAAACATCTTGGAGAGATCTCAGAAACCCAATGCTATACATAGTTATTATTGCTAGTTACGGTAGGGCTACTGCAGCACCAGTAGCAAGATTCATATTGCTATGTACCTGCTGTCATTGCACGGGATTTGTAGTTCTCCACTCTCTAGACATGAGTGGCAGTTGTAGTTCTCAGTTCAATCAGGGTCTTGGTAGCCCTCAAATATTTTTTTTTTTAAGAGCAAAGGTTCTTGATTATTCAGATATTATAGACAGTGAGATATACAGAATACCATAAGGTAATACAAGGAAAATACAGAATTGCCACCTATAAAAAGTAATAAAAAAAATTAGACCATGTGAGGGAACTGCATAACCATTCACAGAAAAAAATGTGTCTTGTTGCTACGTGCCAGTGCTTTTCTACAACAATATTTATATAAAAACTTGAAAATAAATTGGTGGTACTGATACATTTAAGAATATAAAACTACAACGTAGTAACGTCAATACCATTCTGACTTGCCTCACCACTGTTCACAGTTTACACAGAGTTCAGACAGACAAGGGGAAAGAATTTAGACCAAGTGGACTTGGTTCGTAGCTTTGCACAACCATCCCTACCAGCATTATCACTGTCGGTTATATCAACAGTCCGTTTAGACTGTTTCTTTTAAGTGCTTTTCACAATAATAATAATAATATTCAGTGGTACTGACGTTACGCACTTTGAATTCACACCTAGCATTCATTTTATTTAGATTAGTTTCTTTTTCATTTCAGTAAAGTGTCCATTCATATGAAAACTAAACATTTTTTTTTCTATACATTTCCTAACAAAAAAAAAAAATCAACGTGAATACAGGTTCCTCGAATGGGCAGGGTTGGGGTGTGATTGACTTCCCCCGTAACCAGTCAGCATGCTGGGAGAGTACTGTACGTCCAGAAAACGTGATGGGAGATGGTCCAAAGGTGTATTGAGACAAATTACAAGAAAGAAGAGAAGATTATATGTTATTAACGCATGTTATAAACATCAACTCATCAAGACATGTTTTTTTTCACTATGTGACCAACAAGCATTAATATAAATATGGAGATTTTTCAAGTTTTCAAATAGGAGAAGGATAAGTAAAGGTACTTAATTTTAAGTGGCCTTTACTTCATATTAGTGTTCACTTTCATTCCTTCCTCAAAAGTAACCGATTACAGTCAAGGTCCACTTACAAACTTTTTTCCTGGGCGTTAAGCTACATCTCATGGTCTTCCTCAGCGAATGGAGTTGGCTCAGTTGTGATATAGCAAAGTCACAAGACTGAAAGTTAGCTCACGTGGTAACTTGTCGTCATAATAGGGGGGAGAGTTCGTAACTCCAGACTCCATCTACTGTGGAAGACCATGAGATGCAACTGAGAAAAGATAGTAAGGGGACCTTGAGATAAGATTTCTTTTTCTTTTTCAGTTTTCTTTTAGTTTTTTAAAAGGTCGAAAATGAACTTCAACTGAAACAGTTTTGGTCACTGTGACCAGATAGTGATGATAAAACAGGATGAGCTCTCTTATAAAGTTCATTGGTAACAGGGAAAACATGTAAATACGCACAATTTGAAGCACTGTAACAAAAATGAAAAAAAGGCCAGCCCACAGGGTCCTGCGAGGTTGAAGCCTCGCCACCACGTTAGTCCGTTTGCTACACATTATTGAAGCGAGCGTGTGCACTAAGAGCAATGACAAAATGGCACAGATTGCAATGGTGTCACAAGTACAGAGGAACTCACAGAGGGGGGTGGGGACTGCCTGTCAGTCAGGGGTAGGCTCTCATAGCCAGGGTTGCCATTGGAGGAAACGTTTGGAGTCCTGTATAGAGATAGAAAGAGACAAGGAGAGGAGGAATGGAGGATGAAGAAGAGAGGGAAACCGGGGTGAGACACATTGAGAAAGACAGAGGGGACGGGGGCCGCGGGGTGACGGGAGCCAAGGACAGGTAACAGGAAAGAAGGAGAAAGTGGTTAGAGATATAGTGCGTAAAAACACAGCACTCAGTATAACTAGTAGGTATTAGTACCACTGTTGCTCAAGCACCAGCAGCAGGCGTACAGTCCACTCCTGTCTGTTGATGCACTGCAGGATTTATACAATAATCTGCAATTACATGCATTTAGAGCTGGGTGTGACCCACCAGTCCATCTCAGCTATAATGTTGTTTTCCTAATGAATCTGTTTATCTGCATGATGAACCCCAGAAAGCTTTTAAAGCAGTCCTGAGCAGATTCCATTTAAGAGGAGTGGACTGTATTGTTACTGTTCAGCTGAGTTTCTGAGCCTTGATAGTTTCGTCAGTATCGTTGTCTTTGTGTGTTAATACTGGGATATGGGGGAGTCAAGATGATCAGCTGGCATTAGACTAGGAAGTTAAATAGTCCACGATTAGGTAGCACCAACTATGCTTGGAAACTTCAGTGAGGGAGAAAGGGATAAAACATAATAAGATGAGAAAACTCGAAAGAGAGAAAGAGGGAGAACCAAAAAGGAAGCAGGAGGAGTGATGAAGAGAAAAGCAGCAGGACAGATGCAGAGAAATAATCTGAGAGATTTGGACACCACAGTGGGGAGACAGATGAGAGTGATGCAGGAGGGGATGGGGGGGCTTGGGTGGGGGTTGGGGTTACCTATAGTCAACCTGAGCCTCACATCGCTGGAGTTTTTACGAGCGCGGCCTCGTCAATGACACCCTCCCCCCAACACAGCAGTAGTCTACTGCCGTTTAGGAGACAGGACGCCATTTGAGACAAGATCTGTGAAATGACCGAGCGGCCTACATCGTCTGTCCTGAAACACTCGACAGACGAATAGACAGACACACAGACAGACAGACAGACCTCTGGAGTTGTGTCTGTTTCTCTGCCTACACTGTAGTCCATATTGACCTGTCTGTGTGTCTGTCTGCAATGCATGTGTTCAACCTGACAGCTCTGTGGATTTGGACTAATCCTACATGGATTATACATATATATATATATATATATCCTATATAGACAAAAGTGTGTTAACCTAGCTGACTACACTGCACTGCCACTACTCTCTCGTAAAGATAGGTGTGCATTATGTCCAACATCTGTTATGTCTGTCATCAATACAAAAAAGTGTGTTTTGAGAGAAAACAGAATTTCAAGCTGAATGTCTTTACCAGAAAGACTATGTGTCTGCACGTAATAATCTCAGACCTCAGTCAGTCTCTAAGTGTTGTTTACATGTACTCTGTGTTGTTGTGCTACATTCTGGACTGTTTACGATCCCTGATCTAGGGGGGCATCAGTACAAAAGTTGCCCAGAGGTACAGATTAGAAAAACAAAAACACTTCAGTTTAATGCTAAAGCCGTATCTTAGGGCAACTTCCTCCTCCTCTTGCAACATCTGGGACATTCTGTCTGTCTGTCTGTCTGTGTGTCTGTGTGTCTGTGTTACTCACGGGAGGGGCGGCGCACTAGAAAAGGGGGGTGTCCACCCGGCCCCCGGGTAATTATAGAAGGGGGCCATGGCCCCTCGCTGAGACCCCGAGGCCGTCTGTCTACGTGCCTGATGGGAGGTGAAGGGGTCCTCACTCTCGCTGTCCGAGTCTTCGTACTCCTCTGATTCACTGTCATTGTCCATGAAAGAGAGAGAAAAGGACGTGTGAGAGCAGAGCAATGATGAGTACCACTGTGTCTTCATACAGAGCAGCATTCATTATGATAGTTACATATTAAGTAAACACGGATCATTTTTTTTAAAATCAAAAGACATCTTACAGGACAAGCTCTATTTATTCTCTTGGCCACTAATCATTATCAGTTAGACACTAACATTTCCAGAAAAAAAAGGTGTAGGATACAAACTGTGAATGGTAAGAAGGATGTATTTTCCACAAATGGTGAACACAGAAAACATCAAACAGCCAGCAGCACCAGTTACAAAACACTTACTCTCCCTGTCAGCTGATGACAGTCTAAGAGGGCTCCGTATGTGGAACTACCTGCTCCATATCCACTCGCAGCAGATACTACAAACCTGTGCTACTGACACCAAACCACTGAATACTAAACTGTCTGCAAAAAGAAAAATGCATTTGATAATGGGTTAACAAGAACCAAACCTTCAGCCATTATTGGTAATTTTTTACTGTATCCCGTTTTAGACACCTATCCCTCCTGCCAATTTCCATTTGATATTTTTCAAGGCTAAATTTGAACTGACACCTTGCAGTAGATTCCAATATTCTTTCCGCATTGTATGCCAAGCAGCATCGTATGGCATGCAGACACTCCAACATTTTGTTATCATGATCTGCTGGTGGATCACCAGCACACTGTTGTTCATGAACAGAGGAGCAGAGGAGAGAACAGTATATCCTTCCCAACACTGTGGGACATGATGGATTTATTGCTTTTGAACAATGTTGTCTGGTGTGGTCTCTTAAATACTTTTGGCGATGTTTATAATAGGCAATTCATAGTGCGCCTGAGCATGAAAATTGCAATATCCCACCTGTCCTTATTTCAGTAAGACAAAGGTTTAAAGAAATATTGCAGTTAAATATCAGCACTTATACCTATGCACAAACAAAGAGGCACATTCACAGTCCTCTCACCTGGGGAAGCTCCTCCAAGCACCGGGCAGAGAGCAGAGAATAGCAGTGAATGCCAGCGCAGAGAGGAAAGAGTACAGGGAGAGGTAGAGCAATCCCTCCATGCCGTCATAGCACAAGCCTTTCAGTGAGTCAATGTAGTC